GTGTCACTTGGGAAGGTACCCTGAGCTTTCTCAGCGAATTGCCTTGACAACTAGCCAATCTGAGTTTCTAGATTCCAGATGGAAGCTTCTTGGTTTCGGAATGAAGCTCTCGTTTCATGCATAAAGGCAGAGGTATCCTCCCTGAAAGCATTTGCATTTTGAATGTAATCTGAAGTGGTCTTGGATAGTTGTGCAAAGGCTTTCTCCCACTCTGAAGTGTTGTGCAAATATTATGGTTCTTTTGATCGTACTAGATTTTGTTGGCTTCAGCATTGTCAGGTGCTTTCATGAAGTCACAGTCTTTCGTAGAATGAGCACTTGCACATATCTCACAAGTGACTGGACGAGTATTAACAAAAGAGACTTGAGAGTTTGAAAATTGCTATGTGAGAGCATCTAGTTGATGTTACTGTCTCTTGTTAATTTGTAATAGTTGCTCATTTTGTGCCAACAGTGCATCATAATTGTCAAGCTCATTTGCGATGAAGCTTAAGGATGTCTCAACTAAAAGAAATCCCCTATTAGTCGCAAAATGAATGTGTGTGTGTATCATACACACTCATCCTTTGTGTCTATTTGTCTCCCATAGTCGGCAAATTGCTCATGTAAGTAAGACAAGCTCAACAACCTATCGATCAGCTTTCTAGGACTTGGATTGACACCTAGGACTAGGAGATCCACAATGAACTCACGTTAGACTACGTCATCAGTCAATCATTTGACTGATCTACCATATGTAGAAAGCCCCAATGGATGGTGCAAGTCCTGTAATGTGATCGTACACTAGTCTTGTGGCATATAAAATGGACGAAGTGTCTCAACAAAAAAACCCCTCAATGGTCGCAAAATGATTGCACATGTATATCATACATGTCCATCCTCGGTGTCTACGTGTCTCACATAGTCACCATATTGCTCATGTAAGTAAAACAAGCTCAACGACTCATCGATCAACTTTTTGGGACTTGGATCGACACCTATGGGATTATGTCACCAGTTAAGCCTATGACTGATCTATCATCCATCGAAAGTCTCGATGGATGATGCATGTCCTTCAAAGTGATCGTACAGTCAAGCTTTGTGACATATGAAATGTGGTTTTTTGACCACTGTAGCCTTAATTTAATAATTAATTACTAATTTGCCCTTTAATCAAAACATATCACCCATCTGCCCCTGTTTTACTGTGTAGGGCATAAAATACCCGGGTAGGCAGGGGGATACCCGGGTATAATTTAAAAATTTCACCCTACCCGGGTAGTCAAGGGGATACTCGGGTATTGTTCGAAATCTGGAAAATGGCTTGAAATATTTACCCGGGTAGGTAGGGGGTTACCCGGGTAAATTGCATGAATAAGGTTTTTAAAAAACCCAGCAGCCCCATTTGGAAAACCCACAAAGGGGTACCCGGGTAGAGAGCTGCTAGAGTGCGAGTTCAACCTTTCTCTGAGCACATTGGTTGGATCATCTTGCTCTTTTCGGATCATCTTTCACGCACATTGTTGGTTCCTTCTACCGATTGAATTCCAAGAAAGGTAAATTTTTTCCGTTTGAATTTTTGATTCAATGTAAAATGAATTCTGACCTTACGGTTTTCAATTTGCATTTTAAATTATTGCTTTGCGTATTTTCAATTTGCGTTTTAAACATTGCATTCTGATTTGTTGCACTTTAAAAACCCTAACCCTAACCCTTCATTTTGATTCTGATTTTGGATTTTTATTTTGTTTCACAGTGTGATTGCATGGCTGACAGACGCGTTTTGAAGAAGAGAGTGGTGGATATAGAGGGGAGGACTAAGCGCCGACATGATGGGTCTTCATCCTCTCAGCCCCAGGCTGCTGTGCATCAGGCTTCAGAACTGCCATTCGGATATTTATTTGAGGATGATGCTGATGCACACGAGAGGTTTGTAAAGTCATTCATGAGCAGCAAGATTTTTGAGCCGAAAGATGAAGACTGTGCAGTGTGCAGTGGTTGTATGCACCGATAAAGATGAAAATTGACCAGCATCAACTTCAACATATATCTCAATCAATTTTAATACTTTCCAGCCAACAAACGCATCTGTTACGAACTCCACATCTTCACCATCATTGATATCGTTGCCAATGTAGTATGTTGTATCCATATCCACTACAGTCTCTAAGCTAACTATCATGCGATGAATGGCTTGGATGCCTTATAACCCCAAATTTTGATGAATTCTCTGCTTCAGTTCATTGCATGTAATGCCCACTTTGATTTTCATCATTTTTGTTTTTCCTTCAAATTGGACACCGTTCGGACCTTCAAAATGCCTCCCATTGTAGTAAATAACTACATGAATCATGTTTGGACTTGAACTCATCTTTCACACGAAAATTGGGTCTAGGGTTTCAGTTTGAGTTTTGGTTCAAATTTTTGAGCAAAAAATGAGAATATGGAGGTGTAATGCCATTGTCCTCCCAATATTAGGCTTTTTGAGATGATGGGATGAAATACATGTATGGTGATTCAGAATAGAGATTTCAAGGGAGAGAGATTTGGGGGAAAAAAACTTATAACTCATAACAATGGCCGAAACCCATTGATATTGGGGTTTCTCGCCGACAAATACCCGGGTATCCCCCTCCCTACCGGGTAAATAACTGCGCATACCTAGGTATCCGGGTGCCTACCCGGGTAAAAATTCAACATGTGTAAGAACATATTTATTTCGTGAAATATACCTGGGTAGGGAGGGGGATACCTAAGTATCTTAATGGTCAACAGTCAAATAGGGGCAGATTGATGTTATGTTTGTTGAAAAGGTTAAATTTTTGCAATAGTTTATAAGCAAGGTCAATTTGATAAATAATTATTAAATAAGGGCTACAGTGTATAGATTTTCGATCGCTTGCACTAGACAAAACTGGTAATGTATGTTCTCCGTCCTTTTGTTTTTTTTTTTTTTTCAACAATGGATCTCATCATTTATTCTCTATACAATAATTTGAAAGGCTCTTTGGTAAAACCCTATTTTTTAATCCAAAACATGGTATTTTGATTTTTGTATCGTAGCATTTATTAAATTTTGAAAGGCTCTTTGGATTATTAAATTTGATTTTTTTTAAAAAAAAACTTTTATTGAATTGGGCAGCTCGTGAGTCACCAAGAGGTTTAATTTTTTGCATACTAAAGAAAAAAGACAATAAAGACAAAAATAAATAAAAAAGATACATGCAAAAATTGTTCGATTTCTCTCACAAATATCAATATTTAAGTTTATGCTTGTTTTATTTTTTTAAAAAAAATATTTTTTCACAAAAAAACTCTCTAAAAAGGTTTTAAAAATTTATTTTTTAAAAATAAATTTAAATACTCACTAAATAAGCAAAGTCTACGTTGTAGGATCCAAATCGATTCAAATCGCGATGATCGAACCGAAAAACCAAAAATTGAAAAAACTGCATATTTTAATTAGATTAGATTGGTTTTCGATTTGGTTGGTGAAAATCGATACAATGTATTACTATTATGTATTTATTATCTTTGAAAGATGCTGACTTGGAATCTTGTTGTTTTGTAGACTTGAAATCTCGGATGTTATTGATAACAAACTATCTTGTTTTAGTTTTTATTGTCTATTAATCTATTTTAACTCTTCATGAGTTTTAAGACTTGTATTAGTTTGAAGACTTGGATTTTCTAGTGGTTTGTAACTTTGAATAGCTTTATTTTGCCAAAATTTTAGAATTTTTGTAAAATCGAAAATCGATCTAATCCAAACCGAATAAAATTGGATTGGATTTAAAACAAAATCCAAACCAAGTAGATGATTCAATGATCAAACAGAAGAGATTAGATCAGATAATTTTTGCTTCAAAACTGATTCAATCCAAACTGTGACGGCCCTGTTGCGTGGAGTCTGAACTGCGAATTGTATAGAATATACCATCTAGTATTCGGTAATACACTGTATAATACAATATAGGATAAAAATAAATATTTTTAATAAAAATATCCTTTAATAAAGAATTTATATAATTCTTCAAAAAATGTCATATGATATTAACTTTATAAAAATTTATTGATCAGTGTGTCCAAAGCACAAATTAATTTTTATAAAAATAAAAATATTCAATATTTTAAAAATTAATATATTAAATTTTTTTTATTTTAATATATTAATATTAAATAATATATTAATTTTTGAGAATTACATTGGTCAACGATGTTAATACACCAATCTGTTATCACCCCTTATCCCTCCCCAGATTAAGTTATACTTCGTTTTGACGTATTAAGGGATTTTGCTGTATAAACTTATACTATACGATGGTCACACCAAACAACTGAAAATATCATAACATATAATATAAGCTTATACTATCGGGCCTTATACGTCACACCAAACATGCTCTATAGTTTTTTCGGTCAAGGCCGGGGAGGAGGGGAAAAAACTTAATTATTTGTATATTACTATTTTTTTAAAATATATTTATACTTCATTTAATTGTGAAAAATAGAGAATATATATTAATATATAATTTGATATTATTCTTTAAATAAAAATTTGCAAAAGAATGATGTAGAAAATAGGTTTGATGTTTATCATTTTAAATGACATAAGTTATGCCATTTTATAAGAAAATAGACACAAAGAATGGAAATAATGGGGGAGAAAATGAGTGATTTTTTTAAATTTAAATTTTAAATAAAAAATATTTTGCGTCTACCCCTCTCTCTTAAAATGATATAACTTTATGTCATTTAAAATGACAAACATTTTTTTCATAAAAAATACACGTAAATAAAATTATTGAGAGAAAAATATGACTCAGCAACGGGCTGACCCAACTTGTGAACCAAAAACCGGTTTTCCCACAAAAAGAAAACCAAACCGCTAAAAAATTAGTTTTAAAAAAGTATTATTACGATTGCGCTACAGAATTGAAAAAAGAAAAAAGAAAAAAAATAACTCGCCGCTTTCATTTCTCTCTCTCTCTCTGAACCCAATTTCCATTCTATAGAGAGAGAAAGAGTAAGAAAGAAAAGTTTGAATCAATTCAAAGTATTCACAGTGCGGTGAATAACATAACAGAGAGAGGAAGGAGATAGAGAGAAGAAGAATAACATAACAGAAACTCAAAAAAAAAAAAAACAATGGCGAGTTTTAGGGTTTTGTGACCAAAAACAGCAGTAACGGTCTACAATGGAAATGCCTGCTAGAAGATCCAACTACTCGCTTCTCAGTCAAATTCCCGACGACCAGTTTGCCGGCGCCGCCGCTCCGTCGTCTTCGGGTGACGGAAAAACCAACCGAGGCGGCAAGTCCGACAGATGCTTCGATTGGGACCTAGTCGCCGATCACAGAGCTACTCAGCAGGGGAACAATCGGATCGGGAATTTGTACTCTTCGATCGGGTTGCAGAGGCAGTCCAGCGGGAGCAGCTACGGCGAAAGCTCGCTCTCCGGCGGCGGCGAGTATTATGCTCCGACGCTGTCTACGGCGGCGGCGAGTGAGGTCGATGCCTTTGGATACATGCATGACGAGGGATTCAAGATTGGCGAGGTTAAGAACAAGTTTACGGATGCTCCGACGTGGACCGGCGGGTCCTCCGGGAAGAGCTGGGCGCAGCAGACGGAGGAGAGTTACCAGTTGCAGCTCGCTCTGGCGCTGCGGCTTTCGTCGGATGCGACATGCGCCGATGATCCCAATTTCCTTGATCCGATGCCGGATGAATCCGCTCTGAGGCTGTCGTCGTCGAGTTCGGCGGAGGCGGTGTCTCATAGATTCTGGGTATGTTGATTGTGAGGTGTTTTTGACTTGAACGTTAATAAATTACCAGTGAAAATAATAAGGAAGCGTGTGAGTGGACATAAGTATAATTTTACTCTCTGTGTTGTGATTACTTGTTTATAAGCGAGATTAAGTGCAATGTGATGTAGCCTTGTCATTTGAAGCTGCAATGGTTCTGTGATTGTTCTGTTTCTTTTTAAAAATTTTGAATTTATATTGGTTCTTTCAGCTTTTCTAGGCGTTGACGGTGATGAGGTTTGTGGACGAACTTTTAGAAGTTCATTCAGAGTGGTTGGTCCTTTGCAATGCCTGATTGGAAGAGCTATAGTTTGACTTGAATGGAAAAGAATTGCGTTAGTACTAAACCCTCTTAAGAAGTTGTGTTATGTTTGTTGCAAAGGACAGAATTGCATTTTGAATTACAGTGTTAAAGTCTATTGGGATTAACCAGGATACTTGGCTCCTTTTTTTCTTTTTTAGTGCCAGCTCCTTGGGAAAACTGTTTGCTGTATCACTGACAGAGGAAAACTACCTTCGTGCTTTTCACTTTTAATTCGTCCCAAGTTTGCTGTGAATTTTGGGTAGTATGGGCAGAGAGAGTATCCTGTTACTTTATGCCTTGCATGCTATGACCATATTGCTCGTTCTTGAGTTGGAATTTTGTTTTACTCTGCCTAAAGAAGTGATTTTCTCATTGTTGCACTGCATAAAAATTTGATATTGGAAAATATAGTGTTAAAGGAGTCAGACAAATCTTGAAAATGTGAATTTAATATTATAGCATCATCACGGGTGAGGAGAATGTGCTTGATCATACTAGAGGAAATTGCCACCAGGAGGCATAATTATCATATATTGAGGGATGAAGTAGAATCCTGATTCCTTGAGTTGTAACAGTTAAGTGTAAGAGGAAAAGATATCCCTCCCCTCTTTATTCTACTCCATCTTTCTTTTTGAAAATTTTCTCTCATTTTCACAGAAAATTGAGGGAGGAAACTGATCCTGATATACTTGTTGCACTTATTGGTAGATACGCAATTGTTGATTTTGTATCTTGTTAATAATGTGCACCAGGTGAATGGCTGCCTATCATACTCAGACAAAATTCCCGATGGCTTTTACCTAATTCATGGGATGGATTCCTATGTCTGGACTGTGTGCACTGATCTGCAGGAAAATGGCCGAATTCCATCAGTTGATACACTAAAGTCTGTGAATCCCTCCATTGATTCTTCACTTGAAATAGTTTTGGTGAATCGACACAGTGACCCCAGCTTAAGAGAACTGCAAAACAAAGTTCATAGCATTTCTTGTAGCAGCATAACGACAACAGAGGTTGTAGATCAACTTTCCAAGCTGGTTTGCAACCGTATGGGGTGAGCCTCCTTGGCATTCATGGCTTGACCTATTTAGCTTATTGTCTGGTCATGCCAGTCTAACTGTGTTTTATTGCTATAACAAGGGGTTCAGCTTCTGTTGGGGAAGATGAATTTGTTTCCATCTGGAGAGATTGCAGTAATGACCTGAAAGATTGCTTAGGGTCTGTTGTTGTTCCCATAGGTAGTCTATCCGTTGGCCTCTGCAGGCATCGTGCTATATTATTTAAAGTAAGGCTCTACTTCTCTGTGGGGGTCTAAGGCTGTGATTATGCATGTTGACTTGTTTTTGTTTGCTGGTTTAGTGCATGTGACTGTATTTAAGCTGTTTTTCGAATGACTTCCTTTATATTCAATATTTTCAGGTACTAGCCGACACCATTGATTTACCCTGTCGAATTGCAAAAGGTTGTAAATATTGCAAAAGGGATGATGCTTCATCTTGTCTTGTTCGATTTGGGCTTGATAGGTATATGTTTTATTGCCAAGCACATATACTTTTCTGTTTATAAGTAGAACTGCAATCTAAAAGTTAGTTTCCATATGCTATGATGACCATGGAAACGCAAAATTATTAAAGGACAGTTGGTCAGTTGTTAACATTCTATGAACATTATGTGTATTAACATTTTAAGTACAGTTTCTTAATGTTAATATTCCTGGCACCTCATATCTGGGAATCTAATTACAGGGAATATCTTGTCGATTTAATTGGGAAGCCAGGTCACTTATGCGAGCCTGATTCCTTGGTCAATGGTCCATCTTCTATCTCATTTTCTTCACCCTTGCGCTTTCCAAGCCTTAAACCAGCTGAACCTACCATTGATTTTGGGTCACTGGCCAGACAGTATTTCTCAGAATGTCTGTCTCTTGAGCTTGTCTTTGACAACAGTGCTGCAGGTGATCTTCATATTTCCTATTTAATTTATGCTTTTCTAAATCTGGACTTTTGATATTGTTGTTTTCATATTATCTTGAAGGATCCATTTCTGGCATATTGTATTTATTACGAATTTAAGCTCCAGGTGCCCCATATCTTTTCTTTATTTCCATTTTTTTAATGAATGATGAATCTTTTGCTCTAAGCTATTTACTCTCCATAATTAATTTGTTTATCTACCAAACTTGGTATTGAGCTTAATAATATGATAATGTTGCAGCTTTCTTATTTGAATTGAATTCTATCTATTTGCTGTTTTCATCAGTTTATATGTACTAGGAGATTAGATGGCAGCCCTCCTTATCTTTGTTTCTTTCATACATTCCCTGTAATTATTTGAAACTTTCTTTTTTCTAAATTTGGAAATTGCAAGGATTCGGTTGCTTAATAAAAAAAGAGCATGATTCTTCACTGTGATGTTTAAGCTATGTGATGTTCCGAGTTGATGATTATTGTGGATGCTTCAGTATTGTGGAATTGGGAGAGCAGATCAAGTTACTTGGTCAAGTCTATTGAATAGCATTATAAATTTCTAGATTGTTTGTGATGAACAACGGTTAATATCATTTAGTCTCTTTGCAGAATGAAATTTGAGCAGCTATATATTTATAGAGTGATCGATTTAATGTTAGATAAATTGCGAGTTAGTCAACGTATGGAATAGTGCTAAAAAAGCATGTCCTTTGTATAGATTTCATCTTGTAAATTGGACTTTAGTAGTTTTGCACGTTATCCTGTAATTTGGTATGCAATTATGTATATATGATTATTGTTATATGTTTGAACTGGGTTCAAGTATAGGATACCCTGAACTTTATATCACATGAGCTGTTACTAATGGAGATTCAGGATTCTCCATTTCAGAACAGTTTGATGGGAAGTGCAAGGACAGGAATAACCCTAGGCCAACTTCTAGTGACAGCAGCAGAAGTTCTCAGCTTCCTGTGCATCCACAAGTTTCTCATCCAAGCGCCCATGATCAAAGTTCTGAAACATATAAAGCATGTTACCCTCCTCAGAACACTGTAGACTCAACAAAGGTGGGCAAGTATCCACCGCCTTTAAAGCATAAGCGTCCTGTTGGTTTACAAACCCAATTAGCACTAACAAATTCCAATGATGACATTATCAAGAGTGGGAGGTTTGTTGAAGGAAACCAACTGATTCCTAGCAAACCTACTCGAGAGCTTACCTTTGACATGGAAGATTTGGACATACCGTGGTGTGACCTTGTTTTAAAAGAGAAAATAGGATCAGGTATTCCTTTATAAATTGCACATTGTTTTAAAAACCTACCTTTTTTTTTTGGGGGGCGGGGGGATAAAATAGTCATACTGTTGGAAAGAGAATAGACAAAACCAAAGTAAAATGGATATCTTCCTTAGCAATGACAATAGAAAAGAAGAAAACTAGAAGAGGAAGCCAGCTCATTAGTGCAATGAAGCTACCCAATCCATATGCATATTTGACTTGGAGGTTTCACCAAAGAAGTCATGGTTAGGGCACTAAATAGAAAACAGTCAAAATGTTGTGTCCACTCAAATACACTGCAAAAATACCATGTTACTACCATACCCTTTAAAGTTAATCAATAAGATCTGATCCTAACTTAAATGACAGTATTTAATGAGTTTGTAGCATAATTTGCTTCTTCTTGTGACATGATTTGTGTAATTAGTATCACTAGTCATTAATTGAAAATGTTCTGTTGCATTTCAGGTTCTTTTGGAACTGTACATCGTGCTGAGTGGAATGGCTCGGTAAGCCACTCTCGCTTTTTAAAAATAAAATAAAATAAAAATTGATGCTGTATAAATTGATCAACTTATGGTTGTTTTTTCTGTCAAAATTTTAGGAAATAAATGAAAAAGAGAAAGGAGAGAATATAGTTAAGTAATGAGACACTGAATAATTGATATATTGTGATACAAAGCACTAACCTCCCACTCCTATTTATGCAAATAATCTATATCAAGTACTAGTAAGTGGACAAGTGCAGTCCAATGATACTCCTAATATAAATCAATAATTATCCTAATAAACCCAGCCCAATGTACATCTACTACAAGCCAGCCCATGTTATGTTTATTTTCATGATTTTTGTAGCCTCTTATTCTTTGCATTTGTAAATAATGCTAATTATATGTGTGCTTATTATATCAATGCATTGATAACATCATTGTGTGTGTACAGTAGTAGTAACTTGTGCAATAATAAGTGGTTTCAATATTTGTGAGAGTTTGTTTGCATTCAGTGCTAATGGATTAGTCCTGGGTGGTATTTGAAAGTAAGTTGTATCCTTCCTAGCTGGATCAAACACCATAAAGTCGATAAACACTTCACTGTTAAATATCTTTACATGAAATGTTACATACTAAGATGAAGCAACTTATCATAGTTTTTGTTCATTTAGAATCCATTGGTTCTTAAAAAGGTGTCTTCCTATATATATATTTAAAAATTATGCTTGTGTCCTGTCAAGTAAAAAAAATTGTTTGATTGACAGAAATTACTTGATCGTGAAATGTTTTTCAAAACAAGATTTATTTCATAACAACCGACCATTGTACTTTAAATTAAGTTCTATGGCTTCTGCCTAATTACCATCAATCCACCGTGTCTTGATGTTTGTTGCTTGCTGTCTGATACAAACATATACAAGTCCATAGCTTGTATGTTGGCTGCCAATTGACTTTGTATTTGTTGATCTTCTTTCCTTTAACTTATTGACTACACTACATTTGAAACTTTATTGCATATGTTTTCTAATTTAAATGCACATCAAAAGATCAGGAGTTAATTTGAAAACACTTTATCCTCCAAGAGAATAGATGTTTTGTTCCCTGAACTTTTTTATCTAACATTTTATTTTCTGTAAACAATTGGAGCCTTAATGTTGCAAAGAGGCATATTTTTAAGGCTTATGTCTTCGTGCTTCTCCAATTCTATGTTTTCAATTTTTTAAGTTCCATTTTGTTATATTTGGAATGCATATATGTTGGGTCGTCATATATCTTCAGAGGGGATTGTGAGTTGTGACGCTCTTTTCTGGACTGCTTCATTGAAGTTCAAAGCAGAAATAGTGATTCATATTTTAATTTTTTTTCACGCTTCTCTTTTCCTCTCTCTACTTCCTTGTTGTTTGTTTTTAAATTTGTCTTTTTTTACATCCTTCAAAACATTATAAATTTCAGGATGTTGCTGTGAAAATTTTGATGGAACAAGATTTTCATGCTGAACGCTTCAAGGAATTCCTGAGGGAGGTATACATGAAATTTCTAACCATGTTTTATGCAGAGAATACATCAATAGCTCTATAAATATTTCCTTTTTGTTGATTTTATCTGTTTTTTGACTTCTTTTGCTAGGTTGCAATAATGAAACGTTTGCGGCATCCAAACATCGTTTTGTTGATGGGGGCTGTCACTCAGCCTCCTAACTTATCAATTGTCACAGAATATTTATCAAGGTTTTACTACTGTACCTGTCCCTCATCCTTTTTCCCTGAAAGAGGGAATTTTCTTAAGGTGGTGTTTGGTTGGGAGCTTTTTAGCGGATATCTATCTTTCTCAAGTATAGCTTTTAGAAACACCATGTTTGTTTCAACGTTTTTCACCAAAAACCCATCTATCCAATTTGTCTGGATTTATGAGAAACATAGATATCCGCACTGTTTAGAAACCCAATTTGAAGGTGGGATTTTTCGGAAAACCGGTTATCTGGCTTTTAATGCACTGTTGATTTCATAAAGTTACCTAATTTTCCCAGTAAAGTTTTTCTCCACCAAACAACTTTTTTTTATATTTTTCTACCTATCTCACTTTATCTATCTTTCCAATCATTTATCTATCTATCTCATTTCCCTACTATTCCAAAAAAATTTCCTGAACCAAACGCCCCCTAAAGCTATAGGATATTTTTACTCTGGGATCCTAAGAGATTTGAACAAAGTGCAGGGGTAGCTTATATAGGCTGTTGCATAAACCTGGTGCTAAAGAGCAGTTGGATGAGAGGCGTAGGCTTGGTATGGCTTACGATGTGGTATGCATTTCGAAAATAAACATTGTTGTTTCTGGTTTGTATTTTTTTTTGAGTTTGTTATGTCATAATCTTTTAATTCTTTGGTTATCTATTTGTCATTTCTCATTTGCAGGCAAAGGGGATGAATTATCTTCATAAACGTAATCCTCCCATTGTTCATAGAGATCTGAAATCTCCAAACCTTCTTGTTGACAAGAAATTTACAGTGAAGGTAAGAATGAAGATTTAGTGTATGAAATATAGTCTTCACAGAGTTTCATAAAATCATTTGTCACCCTTGTCAGTAGGATTTAACTGTTATGTTTTTTCTTCCAGCTCTTGCAAATAGCTTTTTACCATACAAGCCTATAATTTGTCACCAAAGTTCACCTCTTTTGGTCTAGCATAGCATGAAAGCAGTAAGATATGATTAATGACACTGTTTAGCCAATTATCAGGCCTTTACTCTGATGGCCAAGACACACCTTGCTAGTCCAGGTTTGATCTGGGGTGGTAGCAGCCTTCTTCACTCACCCCTCCCTTGGAATTTGTACTTCATCCCAAAAAGCAAGTGGCACCATTGATTCCACATATCATATAACAGCCCTTTCTGGCTTGTCTATAAAGATGAAATTAAATGAATAAACTATTGATTTGATTGTTTTTTCTTTCAATAGTAATTGATACTTTTTGCTGAAACATTCTAGTAATGATTTGATATTTAGTTGATCAAACTATTTGTGAACTAGTGGAAGGTTGAGTTTATCGCAAAACTTGCTCTCCCTTCACATAGTTGATTGAAGTTTCAGCCTTCTGCTAATTAGCTAACATGTGCAGTGTGGTGTTAATATTTTTTTGGGGGAGTTTTTTTATTTATTTATTTTTTATTTAATTTTTTTGGGAAGTTTTCTTCAACATAAATGAAGGTTTTTTCCCAACAAAATGATAATACCTTCTCTTTAGGTTTGTGATTTTGGGCTTTCCCGTCTAAAGGCCAATACATTTCTCTCATCCAAGTCAGCTGCTGGGACTGTAAGTTTACATTGACTACGGATATTTCTGTTTTGTATATCTTATGTTTCAGAGGTAACTTTTATAATTAGACATTTAATTTTCCTCCTTTTCCTTCCTTAGCCTGAGTGGATGGCTCCAGAAGTTCTTCGTGATGAGCCATCGAATGAGAAATCTGATGTTTACAGTTTTGGTGTAATCTTGTGGGAGCTTTCAACACTGCAACAGCCATGGGGTAATTTGAATCCAGCACAGGTTTGTTGTATACATGTGATACATGAAATTGTAGTATGAGTTTCTATTGTAATTATATTGCTTCGGCTTTTATGAAAGATTCATAAGATCTGAAACTTACGACCATAAGAATATACTCAATAGTATAAAATAGCATGGACCTGTTAATATAAATCTAAAATGATTGCAAGAAATGTATAATGTTTGAAGCATGTTCGAACAGGCCAAGGATGATGGATATATGGTTAAAGGTGTTTTAATGTTGTATCTGATTATTTTTATTTTTATTTTTATTTTTGACTTATTTGAGTGTTATGTTGTCTCATGCTGATCCATCATTTAGATATTATGCTTTCTTTGGCTGAACTTACATGCATATTGATAGAGACCTTTGGCCTAAGTTTATTATAAAAGGAAGAGGAGTGGGCCTAATGGGATGCAGGTGTTTGAAAGGAGGAATAAGGGACAGAATAGGGGAACATCGCTGGGGGCATAATCTGTTAGAGGACAGAAGGTACTGAATAACAACCGTCCAGTTGGTATGCTAGGAGTGGAGAAGAGAATTCTGGTATCACACCAGAAAGCAAAGAAAATGAAAATAAAATGAATAAGGGAGAGGAGAAAGAGGCACTCGAGGTTTAAGGAGAGGTTTGGGTGAAGGAAGAGGTGCTTGAAGCATCTGCATACCTGGGCAATATTTTTCTTTTGCACTTGTTTGTTTTTCAGTGTAATCAAGACCGCTATCCCTGTAATACAAATTCTTTCCATGTTTATTTAATTTTCTCTGGGATCAGTTTTGCAAAAAGGTTGAGAGATTGATGAGGATGTAAATCATAGAATCAGAGCAAGGTAGATGAATGGCGTAGTGCATCTAGATTTTTGTGTGACCGTAATATTCCTCTTAAGCTAAAAGAAAAATTCTATATAATAGCATTAAGAATTGATATGTTATGGAGCTGAATGTTGGCTAAACATAGGCAGCATGAGCATAAAATGGGAGTAGCGGAAATGAGGATGTTAAGGTGGATGTGTTGTTATATGAGGATGAATAAGATAAGAAATGAAGATATTCGACGAAAGGTGGAGTAGTAGCGGTGGCGGAAAAGATGATAGAATATAGATTGAGGTGGTTTGGGCTCGTAATGAGAAAACCCTTGATGCTCCCGTTAGAACAAAAGTTTGTTACCAAGAGCTTGATACAAAGAGAGGTAGAGGTAGACCTAAACTTATTTGTGGGAAGGTAGTAAAACAAGACCTAATGGAGTGGCATATAAATTTGCAGACGGATTGGAGAAAAGTTATAAGCATGGTGGAGGGTTAGACCCATTTTTATTCCTATGTTCTAGACTGTTTCTTTTTAGTCCTTTTCCTCTTCCCCCCCTCCCCTCCCCTCCCCTCCCCTCCCTTCCCTTCCCTTCCTTTCCCTTCCCTCATCCTTTTCTTCTATTTCATTTTTCCTTTCAATCTTCTTTCTTTTACCTTTTTGTTTATGTGTTTTCTTTTTCTTTTTTTCCTTTATTTTATTTTATTTTTATTCTATTTATTTTTATTTTTAATTTTCTTTTATTTCTTACCTTCTTATTCTTATTCTTTTCTTTCCTCCTATACATTCTTATTTGTATTTTATTTTAATTTATTTTTCCTTGCAATTGTGTACTTTTTTTTTTTAATCTCCTCTTATCTATCATTGGGTTCATCTACCACCGACCCCAACTTGGATTAAAGATGTTGTTGATGTTGATGTTGCAATTGTGTACTACTTTTTAAAATACTTCAAGTTTATTTTTATCATTTTTTTCAATCTTTTCGTAACTTTTTTTGGGTTCATCTACCACCAACCCCAACCAGTTTGGGATAAAGGTGTTGTTGATGTTGATGATTTATTTAATTTTCTCTTTTGGCCGATCAATAATGTGTTACAATTGGGGGGTTTTATATTACTTCAATATTCACAAATGCATACTGTCCTGTAGGTTGTGGCAGCTGTTGGCTTTAAGGGAAAAAGGCTTGAGATCCCACGTGATTTAAATCCTCAAGTAGCTGCAATAATTGAGGCTTGCTGGGCCAAGTGAGTTCAGATGCATCTGCCAGTTTGTATTCTGCTTCAATATTCTGTCATAACACTTCATTCGTATACTTGGTTCATTGCAGCGAGCCCTGGAAACGCCCTTCTTTTTTGAGTATTATGGATTCTTTGAGGCCATTGCTCAAAACTCCTACACCTCAACCTGGTCATCCAAACATGCAATTACTCACCTGAATGGTTGGAACGCCAAGTTGTTAATCATGCACATACCACAGGATTTTATTGGTTTTGATGCCTAACAGGATTCCACTGTTTTAGTTGTCCTAGGTACGTACCAATTTCCATAATGGTCTTGCCACTAAATTTAGCTTTGACGTAGTATTTCTCTATTTTTTGTTTTTTTGCGGGTTAAGGGAAATGGTTATCGATTTTCTTATGGAGATATGATCTTCTCATCATTATAATTGGAGTGTAAACAAGTTTTTGTTAAAATAAGTTATGATCATGCTGAAGCGCAGTTAATACCCAATTAATAATTAGTTGAGGCTTTATTTATTATATTTTTTATTGCTTATTGCATGTCTAACCTCTTGTGGTCAAGCTAATACTTGTTCATGTTTTTTTGGTTGCAGAGTCGAGTTGTATATTTCTTTTCTAATTCAGATTTTAAGAATACTGATTCCCAACGCAAAGCAAGAATGCTCCATCTTTGTTCCAACAAAATTGTTTGATTAGATGATCTTGTAATTTCACTAAGAAATGTTTAATCTTTTTTCTTCCATAATTTTGTATGTAAAAATTATTCACATTGTAATTACGTTCAGTTAATGATAAGCAGCATTGCCAGCGGTGTACACCTCAATTTTTTGGCCTGTTTTCATTTAAAGTAATTGGATCTGTCGACTTCATTATTCAAACGAGTTGCACTTGTGACCCTGTTATTCCCTTCCTTTGTAGAGGTATTCTCCTTTTTTGAATTCAGAAAATAAATAACAGGACTAATTCTTTTTGAAGTCGAGTGTTAGGAACAGGGTTGCCAGCATGGTAGTTAAAATCGGAATTTAAATATTAAAATCTCGATTTTAACGATTTATTTTTGCTAAAACGATTTAGATTTTACTTAAAATCCTTTCCAATATAAAATTCCGATTTAGACATTTACTTAAGTCCGATTTTAAGATTTAAATCCCGATTTTAACTATTGGAATGATGTTAAACAAGTTAGAAAAATTGTTGAATATAACATTGGTGATGTTTTATCTGAAGATGAATGGATTGTGGAAAATGAAGAAATTTTATCTCATGATAAAAGTTTAGATGAAGACAATTTTGAATGATGTAGTTGAAGATCACGTGAAACATAATGTCTTCGATTTATTAGCTTGAATGATTTATTATCTATGACTTTTATTACGATTTTACGATTTACGATTTTTTTATTTCCTTTTCGATTTTAAGTAAAATCTTCATTTTTTTTCAGTTTCTAATTCAAATATGATTTATTTATTTTTTATTCATTTTTTTTAATTCTTTCTATTATTTGAATAAAATATATTAAAAATATATTGAATTCTATATATCTATTATATATCTATTTTATATATATTCTATATGTAATAGTATATGTTCATATCATATATATATATTATATTATTCATATCATATTATATATATATAATTATATCACTTTTTTCTCCTAGATTGTCCCTTGACGTAATTTTTCTACCGCATATACATTTCCATAACGATGATGTTTTTCTAAAATGAAACGCTGTTGTTCAGCATCTCGGACTAGCCATGACTTATTAGCACCACATATCCCAATCCAGAATTGGTTAGAAACCCTTACAAACCTAAACGCTATTTCGGTAGTTTTTATGATGGAATGAGCGCCGGCTGTGTCACTTCACTTGCGTCTCGCACTACTCATGCCAATCCTTCCGCGGTTTGTTTCTCATAATTAATGGCTGCCGTTTTACATTTTTGGAAGAAAATCTCTATACAGTCTCCCTTTCTATATTAATATAGTTATTGTTTTAAAGAAGGATTGATGTAAAATGCAAAATCCATTTTACACTAAATGTAAGTTTAAAAGAAATATTTGTTCATAGAAACTAGTGCCTTATATGTTTTATTTTACCCACAAAGGAAGGCCAAAGCCTAAACAACAAACGTGGTATGCCAATCCCTGAAGCATCACATTGACTACTAGTCTACTTGAATCAGTTATTCGAAGGTGTGGCACGGAAACACTGAAAATAAAAAATAAAAAATTGAAGTAGTAGGTAAAAAAAAGTTTTTTAAAAGGTAAAAAAAAGTTAAAAACTTGCCCTAGAATTCGTAGCAAGTGAAAGTAAGTCCACTACACGTTGATACCAAAGTTGAATTCCTCCTTAATGTTTAGTTTACATTTTTTTTGGGATAATATTTAAGGGAAAAAGGAGTATTCTTTTAAAGGAAGGAAGCTTATATCCTTTTAACAATCTTTAACTATGCATTCTGGAAAATAAATAATTATAATATTAAAATTGTACTTTTTTCACTTTTCACATCAGCAGATAGAAGAGAGAAAAAAAAAGTACAATTTTAATATTGTAACTATACAGTCTTAGAAAACTATAGTTAAAATTGCTAAAAGGACATAAGTTTGTATGCTTTAAAAGAACATTCATTAAATCCAATATTTAATCCTCTTTACATTAGATTTTAACAAGCTCGCATTTATTCGCAATTCTCATATGTTAACAAAATGAAGATTTTTATTTTGTCATCGTGTATAGTTTATGGGTTTTTTTTTATCATGTTATATGACAAAAAACCATTTTCTTATACACTTGGCGGATCCAAGAATATATATAAATTTGGGTCTGGTCTGGAACGCGACTTGTGAGCAGCTGCCGACTAACGGTGTCTGGTTTAAATCTAGATCTGGACGGATTGCGACTCAGACCGATGATGAGGAAGAAACAAATGTTCCAACTTCTAATAATAGAGATTGAGGTTTGAGAGGAGATGAATTAATATGTAGATACAAACAAAGGTGGAGGAGAAAAAAAAATCTCACGAAAAAATAAAATAGAAGGAGAAAAATTAAATTGAAAAACTTAAATTTAAAAAAAATGACATTTTCCTATTTTTGGATCAGATTTAAGAGTGGACATTTGCCCCCCTTCTCAACAACCTGGATCCGCCTCTGTATACACTCATAATATATATGGGATCCATTAAATAGTGGAGTGAGAAAAAAAATTAAAAATAGAGCCTAATTTAAATTGTGTGCGTAAGAAAATTGATTTCTTGTCATGACAAACCATTTCCCCATAATTTATAGCAAATTTTAGTCAATCTTCTTTTTCTCGCAGAACAAAAAAAGGAGTTGGAAGCTCTACCCATGAGGGATCAGCGGAAGCAAATACCCGTCTGCAAATCTTATTTAATATTTTATTTATTGTAATTTATATTTGCAGAGATACTTAAATGTGAGATTAAAAACACACGAGTTTTACCCAAATTTAAAAAAAAAAACAATCTGCCAAACATTAATTTTTATACAAAAAAATAACAAAAGAAAGAAAGGGTTATAATTTTCTAGTTCATTGATGCAGTGTTTTAAAACTTGACCATTGGTTGAAATACTTAATTATTGGTTCAATAGGTTTAATTAAATTTATATTAAATTATATAATAAATATATTATACGATGTATTTTGACTAACAATTTAGGATAGTTTAATGATAAATAATAAGATTACTCATTTTCATAAGTTGAGTTCGATTCCAGCCACTATTATATAATAAATACATTATAAGATATATTTTGACCAATAATTAAAGTAACTTAATAATAAATAATAACATTACTCACTGCGCTGGTTCGATTCCAACCCGAGTCGACGTCCGAATTTTAAAATAACGCTTTGGTCATGACTCAATCCAAATGTAAATACCTTTTTTTTTTTTTTTCCTTGTCAATATCAACGAAATTTTTTTTAGTTCCTGACAATAAAAAAGGACCAAATTGGTCCTTACAATTATGAAAAAAGGGCCACATTAGTCCTTATGTCAACTCCTCCGTCACTAACGTGACCCTTTTTTCATACTGTTAGGGACCAATTTGATCTTTTTTTATTGCCAGGGACTAAAAAGGATTTCGTAGATATTGCCAGGGACCAAAAATGATGTTTACTCTTATTTTAAACAAAAAAAATACCCAGGAAAATCCTTAGAAAAAGACGTGTCCCAAAACCAATAGCAAGTTTTTCTAGCTTGTGATTGGGTAGGAGAGTTAGCTTCGCCATTACGTATTAGACCATTTCCCAAATGTCACTCTCAATCTCATGACTCACAAGAAAACAAAAAAAAATAAAAAATCTAACACAATTAGCAACAGAAACAGAGGATCTGTGACCCCACACGTGGTCCTCAAACACAGTCACAAGAAAGAGAGTGAGTATTTTGAACACGGGGTGTTATATTTAGAGTTATATTTACAACTTATTTTTATTTATAATTTCTTATAATTATATTTTAATTATTAATTTTCGTCAATCAATAATTATTATTTATTGTGAATTAATAATTAATTAATAAATTTGATTTATGAAAATCTTAACCGCTGATTGACGGAAATCAACAGTTAAGATATGGTTGTAAGATGTTGTAAACGAAAATAAGTTGTAAGTATAATCTTTCCCTTTGAATATAACTAACTATAGTTCAAAATAAAATTATAACTAACTATAGTTCAAAAAAAATTATAAATTATATATTTTGAAGAATATATAATTAATAGTATTAATTTTTTGTCTGTTCAAAAAATATATAAACTGATATGTCATGTTTTTATTGGTGAGTTGATATGTTATGCTTTTATTATATTAGATTTTTTCCACAAGAAGCAACCATCCTGAAATAGAAACCAACGTAACTGCCAGGAAACAACCTAATACCAAAGTCGGCGCGTTTCATTCTCATTGTGCAGCCCCACACACCCTTTGATTTTTTTACTTCTTCTTCCATGGCCCTTCTCTGCCACCGCCTTCGACCTACTACTATATCAACAGTTACCACCTTCCACCGCCCTTTCACCCTTTTAATATTTCCACCACCACCTTCTTACATCATCGTACCCAACAACAAACCAAACCACTCACTACACTTCACTTCAACATGAACAACCCCAATGATGAAAATGAGAACTCTTCCATGGAGTTGGGTTCCGAAGCACTTTTTTCACCTGACATGATGGAGTTTGAAGCACTTTCGACCATGATGATGATGGAGGACTCGCCACCAATTAGAGATTCTGGTGGTGGTGGTGGTGCTGTGCAAGTTCAACCAATGGAGTGTTTGCTAGAGAACCCTGTTCCTCCCTTTCTGTCAAAAACTTTCGACCTTGTGAATGACCCATCACTGGATCCGATTATATCATGGAGCTCCACCGGTGGGAGCTTCATTGTGTGGGACCCTTTGGAGTTTGCAAGAATCGTCTTGCCAAGGAATTTCAAACACAACAATTTCTCCAGTTTTGTTCGCCAGCTCAATACTTATGTGGGTATTTTTGCTTTTGCTTTCACACAGCCTCTTATGGCTGTTATGTAACTAGTTTTCTTTTTTCTTTTTTTATTTTGTCTGTATGTAACTAATTTTCTTGTGTATTTTTGAAGTAGCTCTGTAATTCTCTTCTTTTCTTCCCTTGATTGATTATTTTTTTGTAATTAGGTTCGATGAAGATCAGTTAATGTATATTTTGATTGAACAAGTTGATGTATCAACTGTGAATGTAAAAATAAAAAATAAAAAAAATTGATTATTTTTTAGGCATTTTGCTGGTGTATACTAATTTCCTAAATTGGCTCTTGTTGTATAGGATGTTATTTCTATGATTGAACGAGTTTTCTGAATGGATGTGACTTTGTAATGTGTTTGTGCAGGGAGGTAGATTGAAGCATATAGTTTCTTGTTTTTTTGTGTTTTCTCATTTGTAAAAAGCAGACTTGAATATTATGGTCTGCTATTTGTAATTGCTATCTTGAGGTGTACTCTCTTGTGTCCTGTGTTTCTTTTTGTTGGGGTTGTTATTATTACTAATGGAATGGAGTAAACAGAAGATGGTTCAGATGTTTCCTAATTTCATTGTAGTTAGGATTGAGACACTCCTGCTACTGGAATTGGCAACAGGAGAGATATTTTCACTCCCTAGAAGGGATTTCATGCAAGTTAAAAGTGTCTACTATAGACTCACACAGTGTGTTTGACCCTTCTTTGAACCCTGCACATAGCGGGAATTTTATAGCGCCAAGCTTGTCCTAGAAGGGATTTCATCTTCACCAGGTAGTAATCTGGGTTTCTATGGGGTGTTTTTGTGTTGCAAGAATTTTGAATTTTTCTGTATCCTATATCATCTTGACCTTTTTTATGCATATGTAAAGCTTGTTTTGGTTTCATAGATTGCATTCTCCAATAATACTACTACTTCTATCTTGCTCATAATGGCTTAAGTTTTGGTGTAACTAAACAATCTTGTTTTTATTCGCTTATATTTCTTCCCTTTTTCCTCATCATGATCCTTGTCTTGGGGCCTTCTATTTTCTTCTGCATTCATTTTCTGGTAACTTGGCATTTGTATCCAGGGATTCCGCAAGATTGACACTGACAAATGGGAGTTTTTTAATGAAGCTTTCCAGCGTGGGAAGAAGCACTTACTGAAGAACATCCAAAGGCGAAGATCACCTCAATCCCAACAAGTTGGTAGCTACATTGGATCTTCCACTGATGCAGGAAAGCCTGGAGTTGAGGTTGAGATAGAAAGACTTAAGAAGGAGAGGAGTATGTTAATGCAAGAGGTGATTGATTTGCAGCAACAACAACGAAGAACGCTTCACCAAGCAGGAGAACTGAATCAAAGGCTCCAATCTGCAGAGAAGAGGGAGAAACAAATGGTTTCTTTCTTGGCCAAGTTACTTCAAAACCCTGACTTTATAGACCGCCTTAAGCATAAGAAGGAACAAAGAGATATAGATTCTCCAAGAGTGATAAGGAAGTTTGTCAAGCACCACCCACATGAAAAAGGAACAGAAGAAACTCTCATGTCTTATGAAACTCCAGAACTAAATCCAGTTTCCATTGAACAGTCTCCTCACTACCTTTCACAGGTTTTGGCTAGAGAAATGAGTGTAGGTGCAGAAAATCTGACTTCTCAAATTGAGAATATGGTATCAGATGAATTGGCTTCAGTGCATGGGATTATGTCAAATCCAGAAATTATTGGAGAAGGATCATCTAACTTGGGACTTGAAGATCCCCATTTCAAAGGGAAAAATGTCTTGATCCCAAATCAAGAAACTGTTCCAGAGTATTTTGTTTCCTTCCCAGATGACTTAACCAAGGAGAAAGGCTCTCCAGATTTTTCACCTCTTGGAACTGAAAGCTTTATGAAGCAAGAAGATATATGGGACCCCAACTTCAATGTTAGTGGTGCTACTTCAAGCTGTGTGAATGAGCTTTGGGGCAGTCCTATCAATTATGAAATGCCAGAATTTGGAGTCTCAAGTGCTATGTCAGACATATGGGATATGGGTAAGTGGCCAGCTGATGAATCTCCTTGATGAAACAGATAGTCAAACTGCTCAGCCAAAAGATTATAGACCTAAGAGTGTCCATCCATAGGGCTTCTTCATCTGCATATGCACTTATTCTCCTGGGGTATTACTACTGTGTTTCTAGTTCCTAGGGGTTATTGAATAATTTGATTTACAGATAGTATTCATTCACCAGCTTTCATTCTTTCTTCATTTCCAATTTTTTTTATTCTTTTGGATTGATTCTATACTTGTCCATACTTTGTAAATTCTAATTGTTTAATTGTTGACATCTTTCATTCAATTAAATCATGTCATCTTAACCAGATGGTTGGTACAAAACTGCTGGGTTTTTCACCTGAGGGGTGATTAAAGTGTGTGCTGGGAAATATCTTCAGTACTACGGGAGTATTGAAGATTCAGTACATCATTTACTCAATTTGAAAAAAACAATATATTTTTTTTACCATTTTACCCTTCCTTGTATGGTTATTTTTCCCTAAACCGTCACTCTTTTCTACTTTTAGTAAAGAAGTACATACTCCAGTAGCACTAAAGATGTGCTCCATGAGGTGGTACCGTCAAACTTCTCATTTGGATTTGTATTTCTCTGCATTGCTATGCACGTTGCAAATAGCCATATATAATTGATAAGGTAAATTTTAGTGCACAAGGCTCTTAATTTTGCGAGACTGGAAATGAGGATTGGTTGTATGCAATTTTACATTTGCATTTTTGTTAAGCGGTTGTTTTTTGGACTTTAAATCTTCTTATCAGAAAGAGCAATCTTATCATTGCTCTAAGCTTGCATTAGTTGAAAAGTGATAAGGTATACTGTTTAGAGTAATTGGTTAATTTCTTGTTCTTTCTCCCTTTTCTACTTATTTGTGTTGTAGAAGAGATAACTGCACGGTGATAGAGTTTGTAGGGATGAAAGTAATAATATGACACCTCTACATAGTAGAAATGTAATCATCTAGTTGGAAGATCTGGACTCTATTAAGCTTGGTGCATGAGAACTTTTACAGTATCCATGCCGAGATACTGTTCCCAACTTTTAGTTTTTTGTTCACTCTTCCACACTATATCTTGTAAAAAGATGCACCTCCACTGCATGCAGAAACCGAAAGCCTTCTTGATGAGGTCTGTCTGGAATCATCTATACATTCACTATATATGCTTTCTTCTATTTGCTTGCCTCCGTCTTATTCATGCTACTTCATATATAATGTACAGCATATCTCGTTGCACACACTCGAATCTTCATTTGGTTCAAACTCAATCCGACTAAAGACAACTTCTTCGATATCATTTTTTCTATTCTCGAAACTCTTAACTTCAGATCTCTAATTAAAAGAATAAACTCATCATCACTTAGAACCAACAGCACTAATAGTTGTTGGTGAAAGCCACCAAATCATACCAATTGGATCATGCGGATTCAAATCCCAGAATTAATGAGGGAAAAGAAACGCCTTAATCATAAAACAAAGCAAAAGCAAGGCTAGCTTGAAATTTTTTCTTTTGAAGTATACAAAAAATTAGAGGTCCAAACATACTAGAATCCTGAATGGACACATGGGAAGTGACAGAGAAGTCAGAAGTTCGATACTTTACTAAATCAATTTTTTGCCACCCTTGCCTAAGTTCTTACATGTTCGACGTAACCTAAAACAAATATGGTCCCCCAGAGAAATCAGAAGCTTAGACCATCATAATTTGCACAAAAATACATTTCAAGTAGGAAACTGTTCCACAAAGTAAAAGAAGCAGCAGTTAAGATCCAATATCTCTGGGACAGCTGGCAAACATATCCAAAATCTCTAATAGTTCAGGTCAATTTAAAAATTACACAAACATTATTGGAAATAGACACTTAAAACAATAAAATGTCATAATCTAACACTACCTAATTAGAAACGGAAGATATCCATTTGAACATAAATGAATAAACTAGTACAAGTTACGACTCACGATTCAAGCAGCTCGCGGATAAAGTTAATTTTCATGGTGGCAAAATTTGAAGGAAAAACAAAAATACTGAAAATAAAATGATGACAAAACCCCCCATATAAGGGGAATCAAGAACAATTATGTCACCTAATACGAAGTTAAACATAATTTAATCAATGATAGATCACTTTATAATCAAAAGCCAGGGAAAGACAACATTTGTAATTTTTATATATATATATTAAGAATCTTCCTTCTTCCTTTTTGATGCATGCTCATCACTCCCCTTTTTCTGCTTGGCTTCTCGGCGCTCCCTCTTTACTCCTTTAGCTTTATAAGGTAAAGCCGTTTCTCCAACCTAAACAATCATAAATTGTTTTAACTGATTAGATATCCTTTGGTTGACAGAAAAATGAAAGAAACATGTGCACAGGCTATATACTTTTAGTGACAGGAGATAACTAAAACAGTTGATGCAATGAATGAAAGTAGTCACTCTTACCTTCTGATCTGGAATATAAATATTTCCAATCTTTCCCTGTAGTGCATCCTTTTTAACATTCTTCTCCTGTGAGCAACAGAGCAAGTATACACTTCAGGCATATAACTTCATTTTACAATAATATATAAACTAAATATATCTAGAAATTTTGCCAACCTTTTTCTTTGGCTTCTCCCTTGAAGTTTTCATGGCTTCCTTCCTCAAACTATCATTAGGAGGACGATGCCGACGAACAACGAAATCCATGGAAGGGCCAACTTCTACCAATTCCATTCTTGGTACAATGCTGCCTGACTTTTTCAGCCGCAATGCACAGTGTGTAAAAAATACCCTATTTGGAGATAGGGCAGTACAAACATATGCCCGGTCCAGTCCAGCAAGATTTAAATTCTCCACAACCTGCATGCATCAGTTGCATCACTTATATTAATGTTAAATCTAGTTGGCAACAAAAGGAAAGGGATGTGCAAGGCTAAGAAGCAGAGATGCACCTCTCCACGAAGAAGATCAAGTAAAACTTCCTTAAAATGTTTTAGTTCATCCACAGCCTCAAATCCTTCTCCAATGAAAGCAATAAAAGGCTTTGACCCTTCCCTTGGAGCTGTTTTTCTATCATAAGTAAATGATTCCATGGGTTTAAAGTTTTCAACCCCAACTTCTACTAAATCATAGATATGGTGATCATATGTTCTCCCTATAACAAGGTTATCAGGTCGCTTCTTTGAGTGAGATCCATACTGCAAAATACAAAAACTATTAAGTAAACGCTCTGCTTGCAAGATTCAGGACTCTTATGTGTATAACGAGGAAATCAATTAAATTTAAAGAGGAAGAGGGGAAGAAGCCTGTATTAACATGTGAATTGCCATTTATTTTTTTTCCTATAATTTGAAAAAAAATAGTCCTGGCATTACAAGATTCAGCAATACTATCACAATCTGAAGACAGACAAAGTTGTCCTCTTCCATCATACCAACATCTACATGCACTTCACGCCAAACATCACCCAATTCAAATAGCTTAAGAGCACAGTTCAAATTTTTAAACCTCGATAACATAGGTGCTTACAGATGGTGAACTAGTCAAAGCTGACAAATATCTTATTCTGAACCGAGTAAGGAGAATTCAAAAATTAAATATATGTAGCACCAATTATGTGACTTAATAATAAAACTTTTTTTAAAAACATCAACAACAACAAAAAAAATAAGGTTGAGTAGAAGCTCACAAAGGAACCAATAACTTTCCATACAATCACCATGAAGCAAGGTATTCTCAACACAAAGGATCCTCCAAATCCTAAGTACCTAAAACATACTATTCTATTCCACAATCATCTCAACAATCCAAACAACAACAATTAACTAATTACCACAAAGATGCTGCAATCCGTTTTCATAGAAAAGAACTCCAAAGAAGTCTCGCCGCCACTCTCAAACGGCTTAATGTTCTCATTCTTGCGACTATACTTCACGGCACTGTCCTTCTTCAGGTGATAAATCTGCGTCAACACCGCATTCAAAACCCCACTAGTCTTCGTCCCATGCAGTATAAGCGTCTTCTTCCCCGATTCAACCTGCAAACACACAAGCCGTAATCAAAATATATATATAAAAAAAAGTAAATAATACTTTCCGGGAAAATCTAATCATCTTCCGGGAAAATCTAATAATTTTCCGGGAAAACAAACGGAGCAGAGAAACAAAAGAGAAAGAGGTTCGGCAACGCTATACTCACGAGTTTGGGAGCACGCTTCTCGAGCTCCCGTTTTCCCTTGCGTGTCTTAGCGGTTTTAATTTCCAACATCACAACCAAACAGAAACAGAAACAGAAACAGTTTGCAGAGTGGGTTTTGGTGGCTCAACTCTGCACCTCACTTGTTCAGTTTTAGGTTTTAGGGTTTTGTCTATGCACAGGGGAAGAGGGTTTTGTTCCGTTTTTCCTAAATTTCCACTCTGTTTTTTTATTTTATTTTTTCCTCAGTTCATTGTTTAATATAGTTTCATATTTGTTTTTCTAATCTTTATTACCCAAATAAAATCACCACCAGCTAGTAATATAAAGTGGTCTATTATTTTTATTAGCTGTTGATAATATATATATATATATATATATATATATATATATATATATATAAATTTATATTTCTGCAACTGTTGTACGTGCAGTAATCAAATACTTGCTATATATATATATATATATATATATATATGTGAAATTAATAAATGTGAAGAATCATAATCATATAAAAGATGAAATATTAAATGTAAAAAATCATGACGATAACCTACACACAAAAAAATCATGACGATACACCATTGTTGTACGTAAAGCAGCTATTGAAATAATTTTATCATATATATATATAATATTTTTAATGTTACAGGAGATACATTTTATCTACTAGACACGTATATTTATTTTTTATCTCCTATAACATAAGAGACATAAACTCGTATATATATATATATATATATATATATATAATATTAGAGATTATCTTATTTTAAAAAGCAAATACTTTATTTATTTATTTATTTTTTATATTAGGATAACACTGAAATTTTAACCTATAATCTCATATAAATATCTTCTTTTTTTTTGGTAAACAAAAGGCCTAAGCCCAAACACACACAAAGAAAACCAAGCAGGAAAACCTACAAGCTACACACCACATCACGTGGCCTACTAACAGAAGCCAAATCCGCTTGCAGTAAAAGAGAAACACCGGAAGGAGGTTCCCACCAAATCCTAGAAACTAACTAATCCTGCTCCTCAAGCAAATAATTGGCCAGCCAGTCCGCTACAGCATTGCCTTCTCTATAAATATGACGAAACGAAACTGACCAATCCTTAAGAATCCAAATCTGTATACGAGATATCAGCTGACACTCACGGATTGCTATACCATTCTTGGATAGCATAGTGATCACACTAGAGGAATCACTTTCAATCAACACATTTCGATAGCCAGCATTCCAGGCCATCTCCAAACCCCTGAGAACCCCCCACAATTCAGCTTTGAAAGAGTTGCACACTCCCAATCTGTACGCAAAGTCACCTAACCACCTCCCAGTATCATCCCTTAACACACCTCCGCAAGCAGCCAAGCCAGGATTACCGCGAGCAGCACCATCAGTATTAACTTTAATCATGCCAGTACTAGGAAACTGCCAAGCTACGTCAATGGACATGGTTCTACGCTGAGCATGCCGGGAAGACTGAAAACAGGAAGCAGTGTGAATATCTTCAACAAGGTTTCTAATAATCCTAATTCTGTCAGAAGCCGAAGGCATAGGAGAGCCATGGAAGACATCATTTCTCCACAACCAAAGCTTCCAGCAAGTAACAAAGAAGAAAGACAACCAACTCGGCATATTACCCACTGACAGCTTCAACAAAAGATTAAAATCAATCCAGGTGTGCAAATCACCAAGGAAGAAGCTAGCGCTAGAAGCAGTTGGCACCAGATCATTCCAAATAGGAAGCACCTGCTGACAATCCCTTAAAGAGTGAATAACTGTTTCAGTTTCCAAACCACAAATGGGACACAAATCATCACCATGACCCCAATGAGCAATTCGGTTCTTAGTTAAGAGCCTCCCATGCAACACTTTCCACATAAAAATTTTAATCCTTCGAGGACCAAACCAATACCACAGAGTATCCCAACTACGACCAGTGTTATCAACCGAAATAACCTGGTCCAATAAGGACAGATAGACTGCTTTAACAGAAACACCAGCATTCCCAACCAGATTCCACCCACTCCTATCAGGACCATCAACATCACTAGGGGGAATAGTACCTTGCAACGCATGAATAACGTTATCAGGAAGCCAAGGGGTAATCCGACTCCAGTCCCACTCCCCAGCATTTGTAACCATATCAGCAGCACTTTCCTCCATCAGAAAACTGGAATCCCTCCAGGAAGAGACTTCAAGTAACGATTGATTGGACAGAAGCCAACGATCCTTCCAGAACTTGATCCTACGGCCATCACCTAACTCCCAAACTAATCTATCCTCCATACACTTCCAAACACGACATAAATTTTTCCAAAAAAATAGAATCAGCATTGGAAGAAGTGAAAGCAGCAACTCGTCTAGAATTGGCCGAATACTTAGCACGCAGAACATGATTCCACAATTGATCAGGATCAGAGAAAAACTGTCAAGCCCTCTTAGCAAGAAAAACATCATTCATCAACTGCATCCGCTTCAGACCCAAACCACCAGCATGTTTAGGTTTCGTAATTGTTTCCCAACTAAGATGGTTTTTCCTAGCCTGATCCAAATCGCCCCAGATAAAACCCCTTTGCATTTTTTCAAGCCTCATACAAATGGAAGAAGGGATTTTGGTATGCTACATCTGAAAATAGGGGATAGCAGCCAAAACCGAATTTGACAAAGTGATACGACCAGCTTGTGACAAGCTTTGTTGATTCCAACCATTAAGCTTACCCCTAACTTTTTCCACAATCCCCTCAAAAAAATCCTTAGAACCCTGCCATGTCTCATCATAGAACCTAGGTATCTACCAATATTCTTGACATGCTTAAACCCACTCCTTTGGGTGATACTGTTAATAGTATCAACATCAGTGTTCCTAGAGAAATAAATGCTAGTCTTCTCAACACTAAGTTTCTGACCCGAAGCCTCCTCAAAGAGAGAAAGACACTTATGCAGAACCTCAAATTGCTCCACACTAGCCTCCATAAAAACCATGAGATCATCTGCAAAAGCAAGATGAGTAATGGGAGGACCTCCCTTACCCACCCGAATTGGCTTCCATAACCCACTATTTAAAGCAGTCGTAAAAATGTGAGACAACTTCTCTATAGCCAGGACAAACAAATAAGGTGAAAGAGGGTCACCTTGCGTGATACCTCTCGAAGGAAAGAAATCACCAGTTTTACCACCATTCCATAACACATTAATCCTAGCTGACTCCACACAAGACATGATCAACGTAATAAAATGATAAGGAAAAGAGATTTCCTCAAGGACACTTCGCAGAAACTTCCAGGAAAGCCTATCATAAGCCTTAACCAAATCAATCTTAATAGCCATAAAAGCTTTCTTGCCCTTCATTTTATGCATTGAGTGTACCAATTCCTAGGCAATGATAATGTTATCTTGAATTTGCCTATTAGGGACGAAACTTACCTGAAACGGGGCAACCAACTGATCCATCATAGGCTTCAACCTTAGCACCAGAATCTTTGACAAAATCTTATAAAGAACAGAACACAGGGATATAGGTCTAAATTGAGAAACAAACATAGGATTTTTGTCCTTGGGGATCAACACCAATAACGTAGAACTGATCTCAGCCACCATTGAAGGATTGGACCAAATCTTCCTGATTTCATCAGTAATCTGCTCTTTAACAGTCTGCCATTGTCTTTGAAAAAATACTGCAGGAAAACCATCCATACCAGGAGCTTTAAAGGTTCCCATGGACTTCAAAATACTAGCAATTTCAACACTGGTTGGCATTGTACACATGCTTTCCCGAGCATCATTGGAAATAGGCTTCCAGAAATTAGGAGAAGAAAACCACATACGGGACCAAGATTCCTCAGTAAATAAATTCCTATAGAAATTGCAAACATGCACCTTAAGGTCGTTGGGCTCCTCAATCCACTGGTTAGAATCATTTCTGAGCTTAGAAATTTTATTAGAGCTTCTTCTAACAACAGTCCTCAAGTGATAGTAACGGGTATTCTTATCAGCATCAGCAATCCAACTATGCCTAGATTTTTGAAACCAAAGCATCTCCTCCTCGTCCAACACCACATCAAGGTCATGTTGCAAACGCTGCTCAATACCTTGTAACCTTAAGCAATCTGCCAAGGACCGCTGCATTTGAACGTTACCAATCTGCTTAATTAAATCCTCCTCCTCATGTTTATGTTGCCATAGACCTCCTTATTCCATTATTTAAGTTGAGGAACAAAACGGCTCAGCATCAAATTGATATTAACACTACTATCCCAACCAGTTCCCATTAACTCGGCAAACTTGGGATGGTCCATCCAGGAAGCAAGAAATCTGAAAGGCCTATCCTGCCAAGAAGTATTATTACTGGAGATCTTCAGTAACATGAGATTATGATTCGAATGCAACCGAGGAAGCACCCTGACCTCAGAATCCTTAAAAGAAACTCTCCAGGGAAGGTTAACACAAACTCTATCTAATTTTTTATAGACTCTCTCAAGATGGTTCCACTTCGGTCCCTGCCAGGTGAAATGAGGGCCAAAGCTACGAAGATCATCAAGGAAACAACTATCAAGGAACTCCGAGAACCTATCACACTTAGCTCTATCAACTGGAGATCCACCCTTTTTTCTCACTGACCTCTTTAATATCATTAAAATCACCCGCAACAACCCACAGAAGACTATTATTTTGACTAATCTGATGAATATCATTCCACAAAAGATGCCTCTCCTCTTCTCGAGGACTAGCATACACAGCTGTACAAACAAAGTGCAATAGGTCACCAATACCCACCCTCAAATGCAAATACTGCTTAGATTGAGATATAAGATTCACATAGCATCTATTAGAATCCCACACCGCCCAAATACCACCAGAAAAACCATCTGCTTCCTCAAACAAAGCTTTATCGAACTTCAGCTTCTTCATAAGCTTGCTGCTATTCCCACTGTTAGTACGAGTTTCCATTAACACAATCAAACAAACATCATGCTTGTCCTCTAACAACTTTAGGGTACGACCAAGCATAGGCTTAGCAGCACCTCGACAGTTCCAAAAGAGAATTGACATTAACACGATCCTTGGGAATTTGCAGGGCGAGCTTGCACCTGCGACAAACGCCTTTCTGCCTTCGCTCCTGTACCACGGATGGTACCAATACCCTTAGACTTAGTCGACACACTCCTGATATGGCTCGGCTTTG